TTTTTTAATATTTTATTTATTTTTTTTTGAGAGAGAGCAAAAGAGAGCACGAGCGGAGGGGGGAAGGCAGAGGGAGAGGGAGAAGCAGACTACTGCAGAGCAGGGAGTCCGATGTGGGGCTCAATCCCAGGACCTGGGATCAGGACCTGAGTGGAAGGCAGACACTTAACCAACTGAGCCACCCAGGTGCCCAATAAATACATCTTTTTTTTTTAAGATTTTATTTATTTATTTGAGAGAGAGAATGAGAGATAGAGAACACGAAAGGGAAGAGGGTCAGAGGGAGAAGCAGACTCCATGCCGAGCAGGGAGCCTGATGCGGGACTCGATCCCGGGACTCCAGGATCATGACCTGAGCCGAAGGCAGTCGCCCAACCAACTGAGCCACCCAGGTGCCCCCCCAATAAATACATCTTAAGGAAGGAAGGAAGGAAGAAATAAAAGAAAGGAAGGAAGGAAGAAAAGGGAAGAAAGGAAAAAAGAAAGAAAAGAAAGAAAAAGAAAGAAAGAAAAAGAATTTGTAAACTCTAAAGAACTGCAGACAAGAGGGGGTCAGTCTCAGCACAGAATGCTTTTACATTGCCTCCAAAGGTGTCTCTGACATGGGCAGGGCACCGGGCTCTTTGGAAGTAGCAGGAAGTCCCTTTGATGCAAGGATCCCATTCCAGTTATTAAGTCCCTGTTACAGACCCTGAATAGAGGACATCTTTGTGTGAGGTTCTCAAATCAGTAAGGAGCCCAGTTATCCCCTGAAATGCCCTTAAGAGACCCACATAGTACAATCTCCTGGCTTTGAGGATTGAGGCCGTCAGACAGCGTATGTGTAAGAATATATACATTAACCAACCTAGGGGCACCTGGCTGGCTCAGTTGGTTAAACGTCTGTCTTCGGCTCAGTTATGATTCTGGGGTCCTGGGATGGAGCCCTGGATCAGACTCCCTGCTCAGCAGGAAATCTGCTTCTCTCTCTCCCTCTGCCCCTCCCCACTGCTCATTCTCTCTCTCTCAAGTAAATAAAATCTTTAAAAAAAAAAATAACCAACCTAGAAGAGAGAGAACAGACACAAAATGCATTTTGCAAGTTTTTAAAATTTCAGTTGACCCTTGAACAATGCAGGGGTTAGGGGTGCCGACCCCCTGTATAGTGAAAAATCTGCATATAACTTTTGACTCCCCCCAAAACTGAACTACTCATAGCCTACCGTTGGCCAGAAACCTTACCCATAATATAGGCAATTAACAAGTATTTTGTATGTTATATGTAGTACATACTATATTCTTACAATACAGTGAGCCACTGAAAAGACAAACATTATTAGGGAAGTCATAAGGAAGAGAATACATTCACAGTACTGTATCGTATTCATCAAAAAAAAAAAAAAATCTGAAAAGGGGGCACCCGGGTGGCTCACTCAAGTTGAGCATCTGACTTCAGCTCAGGTTGTGGTCTCGGGGTCCTGGGATTGAGCTCCGAGCTCAGCGGGGAGTCTGCTTCTCCCTCTCCCTCTGCCGCTCCCCCTGCTTGTGCTCTCTTGCTCTCTCTCTCCCTCTCTAATAAATAAATACAATCTTTAAAAAAAAAATCTGTGTGTAAGTGGATCTGCACAGTTCAAACCCATGTTGTTCAGCTGTACATAAATTGATTTTCCTCACATTCTCCTTTATTCTTTTTTGTTTGTTTGTTTTTCTCTGCTGAGCCTGCAAGCTGGAAGTCACAAGAGTGAATTGCCAGGGCATTGTGACTGTGGGCCAGGCCACTCTCCTCAGCACCTGGTGTTTGCTCTCCCCAGAATACTCTTCCCCAAATCTCACCTGCCTGCTCTACGTATCTGGTGCAGATTGAAGTGTATGCCCTCCAAAAGATATGGTCAATGGTGCATGTGACCTGATTTGGAAACAGGGTTTCTGCAGATGCAGCCGAGTTAAGATGAGGTCCCCCGGGAGTAGTGTAGGCCCTTACTCCAACTTGACTGGTGCCTTCTGACAAGAGAAGACACACAGAGACAGAGACAGAAGAAAAACACCATGATGACGGAGGCCGAGGTTGGAGGGACTGGTCTACAAGCCAGGTGTCTAAGTCAGCTCTGGCTGGGCAGCTTAAACAACAAACTTTTTTTTTTAAAAGATTTTATTTATTTATTTGACAGAGAAAGACACAACGAGAGAAGGAACACAAGCAGGGGGAGTGGGAGAGGGAGAAGCAGGCTCTCCTCTGAGCAGGGAGCCCGATGCGGGACTCGATCCCAGGACCCTGGGATCATGACCCGAGCTGAAGGCAGATGCTTCACCAACTGAGCCACTCAGGTGCCCCTTAAACCACAAACTTATTTCTATGGTTCTGGAGGCTGGGAGGCCCAGGATCAAGGTGCTCACGGATCCGGTGTCTGGTGAGGACCTGCTTCCTAACTTGCAGATGGCTGTCTTCTTTTATCTTCACACGGCAGAGAAGGAAGGGAGAAGCAAGCCCTCTCATATCTCCTCCTATGAGGGCACTAACCCTGTGGTGGGGGCCCCACCCTCATGACCTCATCTAAACTGAATTGCCTCCCAAAGGCCCCATTCCCAAATATCATCCTGCCGGGGACTAGCGCTTCAACATACAAATCGGTGGGGGACAGAAACATTCAGTCCATGGCACAAAGGGGCACCAAGGAGGGCTGGGCAGACCAGAAGCTTGGAGAGAGGCACGTAGCAGAGTCTCTCCTAGGGCCTTCAGCTGGAGCACGGCCCTCCCACCACCTTGACTTCTGGCTTCCAGAACTGTGAGACAACAAATTTCTGTTGTATGCCCCCCAGCTTGTGCTGCTTTGTTACAGCAGCCTGAGCTGACTAATACAACCTCCACAAGATTTCCACTTCCTCCAGGAAGTGCTCTGCTATGCCCCAAGGAAGGGCCCCTCTCAGAGCACGGACACTGAACTCAATGATAGCCGCACGAGGTCAGTCTCCTTCACCCCAGCACCTCCAGTGGGCACCCCAGCACCTACAGAATGAATAAACAGTCTCTCTCTCTTTTTTTAAGATTTTATCTATTTGCGAGAGAGAGAGAACGAGCAGGGGGGAAGGGCAGAGAGAGGGTGAAGCAGACTCCCCACTGAGCAAGGAGCCTGACGTGGGGCTCTATCCCAGGACCCTGAGATCATGACCTGAGCCGAAGGCAGATGCTTACCTGACTGAGCCACCCGGCGCCCCGAATAAACAGTCTCTTAACCTGGGATTACAAACTGGCCCTTTGCGGGCCGAATCTGACTCTCACACATGCCTGCCTGCTTGCTTGCTTGTTTTGAACATCTTACAAAATTATTTGCCAACATGTACAGAGTATGAAATTTCTACAATATGTCACACTTCCGGCTACCAACCGAAAATAGTTAGATGCAGTCACACTGTGCCACAGTTGCACATGTCCACGATCGGCAGGAGCTAAGACCCACTGCCCCCTCGCAGGTGCCGTCCCGCTAACCCCAGCCCCCGCCAGCTCCTGATATCTTGCCCCCGGGCCCCCTAAAATTACCATTTTCATCAACTGTGAAAGCATCTGAGATGTCAGTCCCTCATGAGGCCTCTGTGAAGCCTGGGCTTCTTCATTTTTTTTTTTTTTTAAAGATTTGACAGAGAGAGAGAGAGACAGCGAGAGAGGGAACACAAGCAGGGGGAGTGGGAGAGGAGGAAGCAGGCTTCCCGTGGAGCAGGGAGCCCGATGTGGGGCTCGATCCCAGGACCCTGGGATCATGACCTGAGCCGAAGGCAGACCCTCAACAACTTAGCCACCCAGGCACCCCCGGGCTTCTTCATCTTTAAAACAGGGATGGCAGCACCCCAGCAGGGATCGGAGGAAAGATCTGCACAGGGTCTAGCATAGGGCCTGGCAGGCAGGGGGTGGAAAGGAGAGCAGCTCGGATTACTAACAACAATAGCAACAGATCTAAGGGAAGACCCCTTCAGCTGCTGAGTTCCCCTGCGACCCTCTCAAGTCAGATCCTCCAAACAGACCTGGATGAGCTGGAGGAGCTCCACTAGTCGGCAGCAGCCCCCTCCCCACGGGCACATTCTTACAACAGCCGCCCCAGGCCCACCGGAGGCCAATCAGAAATGCCTGGACCACCCTTCCGGAATCGGGAATGGAACACATGGCTCACAGACAGACCTGACTTTCCCAGTGTCCTCGGGAGCTCCCCGGGGCTGCCTACAGGGAACGCCCGGCCTTCACGTCCCGATCCCCTGCAAAGCTCGGAAACCGGATTCCCAGCCGCCGCTCCCCCGCCCCCGGGACTGGACCCCCTCCCCACTGTTACAAAGCATTTTGGGCACCAGGCGCTGGAACGGGGACAGACCGAGGACCCCACTGCTGCAGACCAGGTCAGGGATGGCTGACGAAACTGGGCAGGGCACTGCTGCTTCTCAGAGGTCTCGCCAAAGACCAGCCTGGGAGGCTCTTTTCTTTATGGGGTCGCACTGTCCCTTGGAGCCTCGGTTTCTGGTTCTGCAAGAACGACCCCCATTCGCTCACTTATTAACGCCTGGGCTTCCCCTCAACCCCACGCCATTGGCATGCCCACGCCCTCAGGACGGACCTGTTTTCTGAACTCTAACCCCTTGAGGATAACCACCCTGAACAGTCCTGATGTGTCACCAAGCCCCTCCATCTCAGCATGTCCCAGACGGGACACCTCCCCCCGCAGCCCGGCCCCTCCGCGGTGTCCTTGGCTACAGAGAACGCGTCTGCTATTAGCTCCGTGCGCGGGCCCAGAGCAGGGGTGGCTCCGCCTCAGTGGCCCTTTTTCCCTCGCCTCCCCCACCCGATCTGCCATCTGGGCCCCAACAACATCCCTCTCTTCAGGGGCGCCTGGGTGGCTCAGTTGGTTGAGCCACTGCCTTCGGCTCAGGTCATGATCCTGGAGTCCCGGGATCGAGTCCCGCATCGGGCTCCCTGCTCTGCAGGGAGTCTGCTTCTCCCTCTGACCCTCCCCCCTCTCATGCTCTCTCTTTCTCTCTCCCAAATAAATAAATAAAATCTTAAAAAAAAAATGCCTCTCTTCCTCCGTCATGCGCAGAGAAGTGGCTCTCCTCCACGCGACATTTAAGGGCACAGGCCCCTTCACCTTGGGGCGCCAGCCCCCCTCAGGCCTTATCAGGCGCCTGCAGCCAGCAGAAGGAAGCAAGCAGGAAAGACCGTGTGCGTCTTGGGGGCCCGGGCCTGGGAGCAGCAGGCCTGGCTTCTACTCACACTGCGCGCCTGGAGCTGTCGGGCCGCCTCGCAAGGGCCACTGAGAAAAGAGCTTAGGTACTTGCACGAGGAAGGCAAGGACACCCTGGGGCCCCTGCTTCATGACAGGCTTCCAACAACCGAAGTGCCGATGATGACGAAGGGAGACGTAAGGGGCAAGCTGTCCTCCGCTCGATTTTCAGAGGAGGGACCAGGCCCCTGTCCGGGGTAACCTGCTGGCCTCCACCCTCAGAGGCCACTCCCCGCCCCGGAACAGGGGGACAAGACACGTGGGAGGGATGCCGAGCCAAGTCGGGGAGGTGGGTGAGAAGGACAGATGCCCGGCTGCACCATGAGCACCGGATGAGGGGGTTCTCCGGGCAGAGATGGGGGAGGAGTGGGTGCAGGCAGACACCCACCCAGCGAAGGCACATTGGCTTCAAAGACTGCAAGTAGCCCCACCCTACAGAGGGGAGCTGAGACTGTGCCCTGACGAAGGGATCCGTTTATCCACAGGAAACAGGAAGCCAGTGATGACGGCGATGGCAGGAGTCCAGGAGAGGAGGGGCAATGAGAGGCATTACGGAGGATGGGGAGCCTGGCTGGCTGGAGCAGGGAGCGGGAGACACTGGATCTCAGGGTCGTGAGTTCGAGGCCCGCATTGGGTATAGAGATTACTTAAATAAATAAAGTTTTAAAAGGGGGGGGGGGGGGGTCGCCTGGTGGCGCAGTCGGTGAAGCGTCTGCTTTCGGCTCAGGTCATGATCTCAGGGTCCTGGGATCGAGCCCCGTGTCGGGCTCCCTGCTCAGCAGGGCGCTTGCTTCTCCCTCTCCCTCTGCTGCTCCCCCTGCTCCCTCTCCCTCTCCCTCTCTGTCAAACAAATAAATAAAATCTTTTAAAAAAAAACTTAAAAAAATTAAGGAGGGTGAGTGGGCAGAACTTTGTGTCTATACATACTTACGACCCTGGTCCAGGCATGGGGGGCGGATGGGCAGGAAAGCTGGAAAGCTGGACCAGAACTACCCAGGAGTGGGCTTTGAAAGCCAAGTCTGGCAGGGAAGGCGGTGGGCAGATACTGTCTGCTTCTGTCAAGGAGGAAACCACCCGCACCACAGGGTCAGCCCCCTCACTTCCAGGCTATACCTGCCTCTAACCACACGTCACCCATTTTTGCAATGGCTAGCAAAGGATCAAGAGAGGATCCATTTCAAAGATAAGTCCAAGCCCCTCGTTAACAGAGAAGAAAACCAAAGGTCATAGAAGGAAAGGGCCTCAGTCCGTTCAAGCTGCTACAACAAAGCTACGGTAGATTAGGCGGCTTATGACAACAGACATTTATTTCTCACAGCTCTAGAGGCTGGAGGCCCAAGATCAAGGCGCTGGCCCAGTGCCTGGCGGGGACCCGCTTCCCGGCTCAGGGATGGCCGACTTCTCCCTGCGTCCTCACAGGGTGGAAGGCTCCGGCCCCCTCACATGCCCCACTTCTGAATACCATCCCATTGGGGGTTAGGATTGCAACATATGAGCTGGGGGAGGGCACAGACATTCACCGTCCAGTGCCACCAGGCCTGGAACCCGCACTTCTCTCGGTCGGGTCCTCTCCACCCCCCGGGCGCCGCTCTGAGCCCCAGGCAGCTGCAAGCAAGAGACCCCGGGCCCGCTGAGGTTTCCACCTCCTACGCCCAGGGAGCTCAAACATGGACACAGGAACTCCGCCTTCCTCCCCCCAGAAACAGGAAGCCACGGGCTGGTATCCTCTTCTTGGCACCTCCCTACTCCCTCCACAGCCAAGGGCAAGGCAAAGCTAGCTGGGGCTGCCCCCAAAACAGCTCCTTCCTCCTGGTCCCTGAAGCCCCCCCCCACCTCAAACAGAGTCCCACAGAAGCCTCCTCGGTCTGGTACACCCATCCCCCCCAGCCTGCCCCTCCACCTCTCCTTAAGGAAACCCGCTGTCCCCACGTGGCCCAACATTCCGCTGCTGGAAGCCAGGCCACACCTCCTTCCGCCTCCCTCAACACAAATGGAGGGGCCATCCCATCCATTGTGCCCCCAGCCTACACCTCCAGCGGTGCTTCATCACAGAAATACGATGCAAGCCACAAATGCAAACACATGTATAATTTAACATTTTCCAGGGCGCCTGGGTGGCTTAGTCGTTGAGGGTCTGCCTTCAGCTGAGGTCATGATCCCAGGGTCCTGTTGAGTCCCACATCCGTCTCCTTGCTCAGTGGGGAACCTGTTTCTCCCTCTGTTCCTCATCCCTCTCCCCCTACTTGTGCATGCTTTCTCTCTCTCTGACAAATAAATAAATAAAACCTTAAAAAAAAGTTAAAAAAATTCTCTCTCCCCCTCTGCTCCTACCCCACTCCTACACTGTGGTGTCTCTCTCTCAAAAACAAAATCATATTTCATGACACATAAATTCTATGAATTTCAAAGTTAGGGCCTGTAAATAAAGATAGTTTGTCACTAAAAAGCATATGGAGCTATGTCTCATCTCTTCTTTTGTTTTCCTTTTTCCCTCCTTTTTAAAGTAATCTTTATGCCCAAGGTGGGGCTCAAACTCACCATCCTCAGATCAAGAGCCGCATGCTTTACCGACTGAGCCAGCTGACACCCCTGTTTCATCTTTTTTTTTTTAAGATTTTATTCATTTATTTAAGAGAGAGAGACACAGGGAGAGAGGGAACACAAGCAAGGGGAGCGGGAGAGGGAGAGACAGGCTTCCCGCGGAGCAGGGATGTGGGGCTCGATCCCAGGACCCTGGGACCATGACCTGAGCCAAAGGCAGACGCTTAACGACTGGCATGCCAATCGGGCCACCCAGGTGCCCCTCATCTCTTCTTATACTATGTACTTACCTATATAATAGCATGCCTCTTGACCCTCAAGGCAGAAAATACAGTATTTACTATCTGATCCTGTAGGGGTAATATTTGTCCAGTTCTGTTCTAGGCCATTCACCTGTCCCTTAAACTCCAATACAGGAGCGCCAGATGTGGCTTTGGAATCAGGGGATCCAGTTCAAATCCTGCCTCCCACCCAGCATTCCAACTCTGGGATTCAGAACAAGTCATTTTCCCTTTCTTCATTTGAAAATCGGGCCAGCACTCAAATGGGTGTAAGAGTGACACTCCAGCGCCGGCCATAGAACTGGTGACTCGTTTCCAGTCTCCCCTTCTCAAGTTTCCAGTCTTCACACCTCCACCTGCAGCACCTGCCCATCGAGACCCCCCCCACCGGACTCAGTACTTTGTGCAGGTGACGCCACACCTGTCGCCTTCTCCCAGCATCCTCATCGATCCCCGCCTCCAGTGGCCGGAGCCCCACCTCGGTGGCTTCTGGTTCACTTTGGCAGCGCAATCCTCCACCGGCTTCGAACAGCGTCCCATCTTCCCAGAGGTCGCCCACCGCCCCCAGCATTGCGCCCCACTCACAGCTCCGCCCCGCTTCCCGCTTGCCCCGCCCACTTCCGGCACGCCCACCGGGTGCTCTGGGCATGCGCGGCTCAGGTCCCTGCCGGCGAGGACTAGATCCTCCTGCTCCTTACTGGGTCAGCTTCTCGAGCTCGCAGGGGTCCCAGCAAATATGCCCCACTGGCCTAGGGAGACGTGGGCCAGATTGCCAGGACTATGCCCTCCGGACACGCCATCGCCGACCTCGGCCAGGCCTTCTGCGGGCGTCCGCCTTTCCAGAACCTCCTTCTGTCCCGCTCTCGCCCCGCCCACGGCCGGCCTGGCCACCTCTTCATGTTGGGCCAGTCTGGGCTCTCCCGCCTGGCCCGCCCATCTTCCCGTCGCGTCCTGCCAGCAAATCTTTTCCTCCTGGGGAAGTATTCCTTCTAAAACTGACCCTCCCTTTGGCTGCTGGGTCAGAACTACTTCCAGCAAGAAAGAATGATACCCTAGAATGGATCTTGTTGCCAATAAGTACGCCGGTCCCCAGTCCACATTCCTCCACTTTGCCAAAAAGGTGAGAAGTGGCCTCCCATTGGGGCTTCCCGCCCTGACCCAGGATGAGAGCAGCTTCCTCATGCCAGTTAACAAATTTTCCTTCCACAGTCTAGCCACTTCTCAGTTTCTTTTTTCCTCCCCCCACATTCTACTCGGGATATAATTGACATACCATAAAATCCACCCCGTTAAAATATACAATTCGGCGGCGCCTGGGTGGCTCAGTCTTTAGGCGTCTGCCTTGGGCTCAGGTCATGGCCCCAGGGTCCTGGGATGGAGCCCTCCATCGGGCTCCCTGCTCAGCGGAAAGCCTCCTTCTCCCTCTCCCACTCCCCCTGCTTGTGTTCCTGCTCTCACTCTGTCAAATAAATAAAATCTTTAAAAAAAAATGTACAGGGGTGTCTGTGTGGCTCAGTGGTTGAGCGTCTGCCTTCAGCTCAGGTCATGATCCCAGGGTCCTGGGATCGAGTCCTGCATCGGGCTCTCTGCTCATCAGGAGGCCTGCTTCTCCCTCTCCCACTCCCCTGCTTGTGTTCTCTCTCTCACTGTCTCTCTCTCTCTCTGTCAAATAAATAAAATCTTTAAAAAAAATTTTTTTAAATGGAATCATATATGTGGCCTTTTGTGTCTGGCTTCTTTCACTTAGCATGATGTTTTCCAGGTTTATCCATGTTTCAGCACAAGATACTGCCTATATGTAAGAGACTCACCTACCTATCTCTCCAGTACAGCCCTTCCTCACAAGCTCCAGATGCAGAAGGTCCTGGGGTGGCCTCCACACCTCTGCATGAAGGTCAACTCAGACATCAGACTTGACATGCCCAATACAAGAAAACCATAGACAGAGCTCAGTTATGAATATTGATTTGAGAATGCTAGTGAGTAGGGGCACCTTGGTGGCTCAGTCCGTTAAGCGTCCAACTCTTGAGCTCAGCTCAGATCTTAATCTCAGGATCATGAGTTCAAGCCCCACGTTGGGTGCGGAGTTTACTTTAAAAAAAAAGAAAGAGGGCGCCTGGGTGGCTCAGTTGGTTAAGTGACTGCCTTCGGCTCAGGTCATGATCCTAGGATCCTAGGATAGGGTCCCGCATCGGGCTCCCTGCTCAGCGAGGAGCCTGCTTCTCCCTCTAACCCTCCCCCTTCTCATGTACTCTCTCTCTCTCTCTCATTCTCACTCTCTCAAAAAATAAATAAATAAATCTTTAAAAAAAAAAGGAAAGAATGTTAGTAAGTATAAGTAAATACAATCCAACAGCAAGTTAGTAATTTTAAATATATTTTTTAAGATCTTTTTTATTTATTTTAGAGAGAGTGAGAGAGCACAAGGGCCAGAGGAGAGAGAGGGGGACAAGCAGACCCAGCCGGGCTCAATCCCAGGACCTGGAGACCATGACCTGAGTCAAAGACAGATGCTTAACTGACTGAGCCACCCAGGCATCCCCAGTAATTTTAAATCTTTAAAAAACTTTTTTTAAATAAACTCTACACGCAGTGTGGGGCTTGAACTCATGACCCGCAGATCAAGAGTCACATGCTCCACCGACTGAGCCAGCCAAGTGTCCCTAATAATAACTTTAAATCATAACCAAGAAAGGCTTCTTCTAGGAAGCCAAGGATGGTTTAATATTAGGAACTCTGTTAATATAATTATAATATTAATAGGAAAAATAGGGGATAAAAGCAGTCTTATCAATATATATGAACAGGGCATTTGATAAACTTCAACATACATTTTTAATAAACATTCTTGACAAAATAGAATAAGTAAACACTTATAAAAACAATCCAAATGTCATCTTCCTGAAGCACTTTCATTAAAGTATGAAACAATACCTTCTTCCATTTATTTTTTAACCTTTTCTAGAGGAACAGCTAATGTAATTGGACAAGAGAAAAATTAGAGGCATGAAATAGGGAAAGAGTAGGTAAATTGATCACCTTTTGCAGATCATATGATTACATATGTGGAAAACCCAAAGAGAATTAGCCAAAACACTATTCTAAATAAACAATAAGAGAATTCAGCAAGGTGCCTTTTATATATGCTAACAAGAATCAGAAGATACAAAGGAAGAAAGGATATAAAACACCTAGGAATACACTTAACAAATATTCAAGATACAGATGAAGAATATAGGAAATGGAGAGCACACAAAACACGTGAGCAAATGGAAAGGCCTACTGTGTTCCTGAATAGGAAGAGTAAAGATCATGAAGACGTGAAACCTCCCGTCGACATTTGATTAACTTGTTACTGCTATCCTAACAAAACCACCAGCAATTTCATAGGAACAATATCCTATTGAACAAAGCAAGATGCAAAAATGTCGTGCATGGTCTGGACCACTTCTGTAAAAAGGAGGAACAAAACAGTATCTGGGGATAAGCAGGTGGGTAGGAAGGTAGGTAGGTAGGTAGATAGATGGAGACTGTCTATGGAAGGCAAAGTAGGAACTGCCTCTCACAGGCTGCTTCTGGTTACAAAAACAGGAAACTAAAACAAGCATGGAAGGGACAATTTTCACTGTATAACGTTTTGGTATAATTTTGAACCATGCAGGGGCGCCTGGGTGGCTCAGTCAGTTGAATGTCTGCTTTCGGCTCAGGTCATGATCTCAGGGTCCTGGGATTGAGCCCTGCGTCAGGTTCCCCACTCAGCTCAGCCTGCTTCTCCCTCTCCCTCTGCCTGCCGCTCTGCCTACTTGTGCTCTCTCTTTGTCAAATAAATAAATAAAATCTTTAAAAAAAACAAAAAACAAAAAACACATCCATTTCTTTTCTCACAGATCAGAAATCCAGGATGGCACCCGCCTGGGTGCTCTGCTCAGCCCTTTACAAGGAGGCAAAGTCAAAGTTTCCACCTGCTGTGATCTCACCTGGTGCTCAGGCTCCTCTTCCAAGCTCGTTCCTGTTGTTGGCAGGATTCAGTGCCTTGTGGGAACAGGGTCCCACCAGCTCCTTGCAGCTTCTCTTTGGTCCTTGCCCAGGGCTCCCATCTTCACAGCCAGTTTCTAATCTCTGGCTGTCCCGCTGCCATCAGCCAGAGAAGCGCTCTACTTTCCAGCCTGGATAATCCAGGACAGTCAGGGTGCCAAATAACATTCTCACAGCAGGGGATACCCCAGCACTCATAGGTTCTGGGGATTAGGGCAGGACCTCTCTGGGGGGCCATTTTAGAAATTCTCCCCACCTGCCGGCTTCCCCACTACCACACCCAGTCTCAAAGTCCTGCCGCGTCCTACACATCGCTCACACCGACTCCCTGAGCGCAGGCCTCACGCCCACCACCCTGCGTTCCTCTCATGGCCTATCTTTCTCCCCCATCCCCAGGCTCCACTGTCGACGCCCCTCTTTTCCCCCGATGGCAAAATGATCTTCCAAAAGCACAAAGCTAACTGGCTTACTCCTCAATTTATTTTACTAGTTTTTTAAGTTTATTTATTTTTTTTAAAGATTTTATTTATTTATTTGAGAGAGAGAGAATGAGAGACAGAGAGCACGAGAGGGAAGAGGGTCAGAGGGAGAAGCAGACTCCTCGCTGAGCAGGGAGCCCGATGCGGGACTCGATCCCGGGACTCCAGGATCATGACCTGAGCCGAAGGCAGTGGCTTAAGCAACTGAGCCACCCAGGCGCCCAAGTTTATTTATTTTAAAAGATTTTATTTGAGGCACCTGGGTGGCTCAGTCGTTAAGCGTCTGCCTTCGGCTCAGGTCATGATCCCAGGGTCGCGGGATCGAGCCCCGCATCGGGCTCCCTGCTCGGCGGGAAGCCTGCTTCTCCCTCTCCCACTCCCCCTGCTTGTGTTCCCTCTCTCGCTGTGTCTCTTTCTGTCAAATAAATAAAATCTTAAAAAAAAAGATTTTATTTATTTATTTTAGGGAGGGGGAGGGGCAGAGGGCGAGAGAGAATCCCAAGCCGACTCCCCGCTGAGCGATCCTAGGACCCTGAGAACATGACCCGAGCCTGAGCCAAAATAGCCAAAATCAAGAGTCGGACGCTTATATGACTGAGCCACCCAGGAGCCCCTTTTTAAATTTATTTATTTGTGTTTAAGATTTATTTATGTATTTATTTGAGAGAGAGAGAGAGAGAGAGAGAGAGAGAGAATGTGTGGGGGGAGGGGCAGAGGGAGGGAGAGAGAGAATCCCAAGCCGACTCCCTGCTGAGCACGAAGGGGCTTAATCCTACGACCTTGAGATCACGACCTGAGCCAAAACCAAGAGTCCGATGCTCAGTCAATGCTCTGAGCCACCCAGTTGCCCCTATTTATTTATTTTTAGGGTTTTTTGTTTGTTTGTTTGGTAATTGCTACACTCAACATGGGCTCAAACTCACGACCCCAAGATCAAGAGTTGCGGGGTGCCTGGGTGGCTCAGTTGGTTAAGCGTCTGCCTTCGGCTCAGGTCATGATCCCAGGATCCTGGGATTGAGCCCCACATCAGGCTCCCTGCTCAGCAGGAAGCCTGCTTCTCCCTCTCCCTCTGCCTGCCACTCTGCCTACTTGTGCTCTCTCTGTCAAATAAATAAATAAAATCTTAAAAAAAAAAAAAGATCAAGAGTTGCATGCTCTTCCGACTGAGCCAGCCAGGGGTACCTAGTCCCCAATTTAAACTCCTGCCGTGCCCCCGCCAACACCCCCCACCCCCGCCCGGAAGTTCATTCACTCCAGTGTTTTCTGAGCACTGACTCCCTGCCAGGTATGCCCTTCTGGAGCTTTCTGTGTCGTAACACAGCAGATCCCCAACAGCGAGCAAGGCTGCAGTGAGCACTGAGGGTGGCCATCCCAGTGGGCCGGCCACCTAGCGTTTTCGGCCCTGTCCTCGCCCCTCCTCTCCTTACCTCCAGACATGCCTGGCACCCCTCCCCGACCCACGCGGCAAATCGCAGTCAGGAGCACGTTCTCCCAGATGCCCTCCCAGGTGCCAGTTCTATCTTCTGCCAGCTCTTAGGAACCTCTGGGGAGTCAAGGGCTTTCTCTCTCTATTTCACTATGGCTTCCTCTAATGCCTAGCACAGACTTTGCCACACTCCAGGTGCTCAGTACATGTTCTGGAATGAATGGAAAGTGCAAAGACTCCGGCTGCTCAGCCTTCCAGCCCCTGGGTGCCCGCTTTGGTCCCCTCGGCCCTGGCCTCAGCTGTGACCTGCAGCCGGAGCCCAGGATGGTGGTGCGTGGG